CTCAACAGTTACACTTTCATTATCCTCGTTTAGGGATGTAACCATAGCTTGGTGAATTCGGCCTAGAAAGCAAACACAAATGACCATTTATTTACTGCTGGAAAAAATTTCCAGAAGTTAGTTTCATCCCTGCACTGAGGCATGCAGAGAGAGGCAGGAGGAAGAGGGCTGAAAAAAATTAGGTGATGAATAGGGGATGACCCTAGGCCACACGTGAAGTGGGTCAGACCTGATCCACCAGTGGAGGCTGTAATGGGACCTCAGCATACAAGTGGGAAGTGCAACAAACAGAAAACTGAGTTATAAGTAAACAGACCACCACATGAAAGTCACCACTTAGACTCTCTTTACCAGAGAGAAGAAAACACCACTGTGAAACTCCCACAGGGGCTGAAGCCCCCTGCTAGGCTGATACAACATCTCAACACAGGAGCAAAGCCCGCTGAAATTGTATTCTGATATCCATTTTTTACAGGCATCTAATCACTTGGTAATCCAACTAGAATTAAACTGCCTGGAACAATAACACAAACCATTATTTTAGCAAGAGCTGCTTACACAGACTGCTGAGCTGGAGTTAAGGTGTCTTTGTTTTGCCTTCTCCAGTGACCCAAAGGCAGCAAGCCCCCATAAAATACAACAAAACCAGCAAACTTTCAGTAGGAATAAGGATTTTTTCTTCTAAAATTGTAGTGCACTGCAATTTTTTTGTCCTATTTCCTATGCACAGTAGAGAAGAGCAATTGGAAGAGCAGAACAGTCATGTACTGACACAAAAGGATCAAGACCCAGGTGTCACATTGATTTCACATCTGAGCTTTGCCCTAACAGTACCAAGAACCGAGGGTTCTAAAGAACATGAGCCCAATGCAACAGCTCCTCTCACGTCCTCCTTTAACAAGCCATAGTATGATGGAGAAGCAATCCCATCCTCCACGTGTCCTGAGCCTCTCCTAAGGCTTCGTGTAGCTCCCAAAGCATGAGTGACCGTCCTGGAGCAGTTGTGCATATGCTGCTGTGAGCATCTGCTAGGAGTGAAACACAGCACAGCCAACACACATCTGTTCTGGTCTGGGCCTTCTCTGCCTTGCACCTTATCTTCTCCTTTCCTAAAGCTGTCAGCCTCACAGATTCCCTCCAGTTTTCTCCTCTGCTGACGGTTTCACTTCAGTCACCATTTGACAGTTTTCCAAAGTTACTGTTTTCATACAGTCTAAGCTTTCTAGGGCCTGCTGAGGGACAGAAAGAAAGCAAAACTCGAGTGATATCCCAAATTATCCCACCTAATGTTGCACGTAACAAATGTATACTCTTAATATTTCTTTTATTACAAAGGCTGCCTAAACATTCACACCTAGTTAAGATTCAGCAGTAAGAGAGACTAAAGGAAAGCATAATGGAAGGTAACGGCAAATCCCTGTGCTCCAATACAGTGTGTGGAGGAAGAGACCAACTGCAGCTCAGATGAAGTACTCAGGGACCTGGCAGAGCAGCAGCAGCCCTGGGCAGCATTGCTTTCACATCCTTCACTCACCTCGATGGCAACATACATTATATATGCATTTACAACCTCCACGCTTCTCCTTGCCCAAAGCATGAGTCTCTCCACCACTGAAGAAGGTTAAGTAGTTTTTTAAACATAAGAAAAAAAAAAAGCCTCCCCTTTTGCTTCTTTTGCTTCGCTTGGTTCCTGTCCTCTGGCATTCACTTGTTTTTATTTCCCTGGCCCACGCTTTGTCTGAACAAACCCTTCCATTTGTGCTTCCTGAGCACCATTCTCACCATCCTCAATATACCTCTCCATTAATTTTTATGCATTTAATAACCTCTAGGGACTTAATTTTGTGCAAGAACACTCTGCTGTAGAACCATTTCAATCACCTCTCTGGTCCTTCAGCAAAGCAGCAACAGAAGCTGTTGCTTTCCTACAGTGATGCCTCTCCTGCCTGTCCTGCAAAGAGGGTGCTGTGATCAGACTGTAAGGACACGAAAATAAAATACCACAACAATCTTGAGCATGTTACCAAATTTTATAAAGTTGGAAGAAAAGCACTAGTCACAGCTGAAACCTGTGACACTGTGTTAGTCACAGAGTCATCATGTAAGTCCTACTACCTGCTTCTGTGCTCTGTTGTTTTTGACAGGGCACAAATAATAATTAAAAAAGGTTTAATCTTTGCCATAACAAGCAAAAGGAGATCAAAGCAGGCTGATGAATGAACAGAAAATGCTGCACACTCTCACAAACACAGTAAGCCAGCATGCTGTAACAAAAGAATCACAATACATCTTCCATCTCTGTGCCAAATTTCATCTGTTCCCTGGCCAAGAAAGTCAGGACTGAATTAAAAAAACACACAAAAACCCAACACTAGCAAAAATAAAAGTTATGTCCATCTTCCAGATATTCTCAGCTTGAACAAAAAATGTACACTATAATGTTTAAACTGGCAATGTACCCATACGATTTGTTCCTAAAAATTCTTTGTGTTCCTAAAAGTTTACATGTTACTCAAGTGCCAGATAGCACATTTACATCTTTACAATTGCCTCTTGCTTTCTGCAAACAGTATTCCATTATATTTTTCTAGTACACAGCTGAATACAGCAGCTGGGAAATGCAGCTGGGAAATTCAGGAAGGCCAGCAACCAATTAGGCTGGCATAAACCTCGTCTAGCATATAAAGCAAGACCAAGCTACAAATGCTAAGGCATAGGAGCCAAATCAATCTGCAGAGAGCAGTTGAAGGCAATGTCTGTAATTTCTGGTGCACTTTCTAGAGATGGTATCAAAATCTGACATGTGAACACGTCCATGTAAAAATGGACGCGCATTACGACAAGCTGAAAATGGAGCACGTGATTCAGGAAGACCAAGTTCGCACATATCTCAGAAACAAAGCAAGAAAAGTAGAGACATAGTGCTGATAAAACACCTCTTCACTTGGCATTTCCTTAATTTCCAGTGCCTTTCCTGATGTGATAGAATTCTGGGAAGGTGCTACAGGGCTCAAAACTAATGGAGAAGTTATTTGGAAAAGCTGTTATTTGTGTAAACATGTGCTGTCATACAGTATGTGACATCTGGCTTATCTCCTACTGGCTAGAGCATGCAGAAAATACTGCTGCCAATACAGCAATACAACACGGCACTATGCAAAGCCAACACTTTACTATTACCTTAAATACACATCTGTTACAAGATTTTCACTCTAATGAAAACAAATGAGGAACATCAACTCTTCATTCCCTTTATTCCTAGTCACGTGAGGAACATTTGACAAACTGAAGAAAGCATTCTGATCTGCAGACATATCAGATAAATACCCTCTATTGTAGCAGTTCTTAGAGTAGTTAGTGGTGCACAAAAATTATCAGAAGAGCAGCTAAAGCAAACAACCAGGGCTAAATGAAACATTTTAACTAACCCTCAACCTAGGTAGCAGTGCCAACTGATTGCAGATACCAAGCTGTACTTAGATTCTTACCTCTAAGCAAGCTGAACATTTTCTACCCGCAAAACTTCCCCAAACCACCATAATTCTGAAGCTGTCATCAGTGACAGTACTAAAACGACGGCCTTTTCCTCTTCCTAATCTTTTTCAGAAGCATAAGTTATCAGTGTTAACTATGGGTTGGTGTTTCCTAAACTGCAGTCTGGGCTAGGGCACTAGCTGACCTGGCACTGAAACCCCTTTGCACTCTCCCAAGTGACTCAAGAAATAAAGCTGGACCACAGCCTACCCCACCCTTCCACATAACTGGAATGTGCCTGATGCAAAAGGCACTGTACTCCCACGTCTCATGCAAAAGTTTTGCGAATCTCAGCAATATCTTTGAGCTGTAGTAACTGAAAATTTACACCCAGGCCCTTCTGGATCAGGCTACGGAGCAGAAAGGTTCATAATTTCCCCGATGAACCTCTTATTCACCCCCCAAAAACAGCAGCAGGACCCTGCCCAGCAGTGTTACATTATGACTGTCATACAGCTGTTTAAGCCTTGTCAGCTCAAACACAGGCAACTATTTTTAGCAGGACCAGCTATGGCAGTGTTAACAGACATAACCTTCGCTAAAGGAAACTCATGGCTTGCTTATATTACATGCCCTGTGCTTGCCACATCTTCAGGAGCACAAATAGCTCTGGCAGTGGACCCTCAGCTGAGCACTTTGCTTTACTAAGTGCATCAACAGATGTTTCATAGGTGAATGCAAAAATATACTACAACTTCACATCGGCTACATTCTTTCTGAGGATGACCACTGCAACAGAAAATACTCATCCCTCAAAAGATTACCATACACATTTGTGAGATAGCCATTATTTTCCTATTCACATCCATGAGAGACTAATATGAATGTTACCTTATCTAGAGACACCTGGACATGACTGACCTTCACCCTCTGCCACATGATAGTCAAAAACTAAAATTGTGAAAAGTACAATTTTCCTCAATGTCTTTTAAAAGTAATAGAAACCCCAAGTTACATATACCAAAAGATTATGTATGTTTAGGAGATACATGAGGCTGCAAATACAAAAGCAGCACGTGGCCAGGATTACTCTGGTCCAGAAAACTGTCTTCTGTGCTACAGGTTCCAGCCCTGGTAACACTGGTGGAAGGGCCTTCCTGCTCTCAAAAAGCTCACAGAGGTGAAAAAAAAATCCTCCACTCACCAAATAATGCCTACAGCAAATTTTAAGGAGAAAATTCCTAAGGAAAAATAGAATTCCAGACTTGGTGTCTCCAGCAGTGTCAACTGTGGAGATGTCCCTATTCAGACGATCAGCCCTTGTCATGGTCCTCCCTGCACTACAC